TTTTTTTTTTTTTTTTTTTTTTATGTTATTAATTCTTTTATTTTAAATATTTTAAGGATTAAAGTATAAATATATTTTAATGGAAAAACAAAAATTAGTATAGTAGAATAATTATTATTAAATATAAATATTATTCTATAATTTATTGTTAATTTAATATATTATTAAAATAACTTTTAATGATGTAAACTTTATATGTTTAATTTTATAAATCTTATTAATTACCATTTTTTATACTCTACATATTTTTTTTTCTACTCCGTAATTTGCCAATCTATGTTTAACTACATATTAAATTTTCTGTCTCACATAATAATAAATAAAAATGAATAATTTATATTCTCTCTATGAAAATATAAGTGAAAATGATAAAAATTTAATTTCAGAAAAATTAAAAAATATACTAAACGATTTTCAAGATAAAAATAAAAATTATGTTTCTGAATTTGTTGTTGTCAGTAGAACAAGATTTTTTGAATCTATTGACAGCGATGGAGAATTTTTACTGTTGCAATCTGCTTCTCGTATAATAAGCAGTTATGAAAATATTATACGTTTATTACATAAAGCAAAAGTATACTTGGAATTTGTTAAATGTTTAAAATTGAGTAATTATGATTTAAATAATAACAAAAATTGTGAAGAAAATATTTTAAAATTTATTAATTATTTAGAGTCAAAAAAAACGAAGTATTATTATCATATATGTGGAATGCTAATACAGCTTATTATAACTTCCCTCAAAAAAAAAGATAACTCTACTGATAATAAATCAAACGAAAATGAATATGAAAAACATAATATATTTGATAGTTACGAAAAAAATAATACTAAAAACTATGAAAAAATTCATGATTCGACTTTGAATGAGGCACATAAAATAAAGGAAAATATTGATACATGGGAAACTAATCATAATACTGAAAAAAGTATTATTGAACCTTTTGATGAATTAGAAGAATATGGTGATTATCTATATGATGTTTTAAATCAAATGGACAATAAATCATGGAAAGATAAAAAATATACAGAATATTTAAAAATGATTAGTTTAAACGATGCAATCATAAAAGATGAAAATAGTAAAACACAAATCTCTGAAAGTAGTAGTTTCACCAATATTTCAACCTTAACAAATAATATGATTTTACTACCAAAATACTTAGAAAATGTAAGAAATACCATATATAATCATCAAAATAAATCGATAATAGAAATGAAATCGATGATTCAACATGCAATAAATGATAATATTAAAATTCCATTATTTAAAACTGGTAAAATTATTAGTGAAATGCTTCCATCTCCAAATTATGAAAAATATTGGTCCATAACACAATATGATATTTCAAATAAGCTAGACACTTCAATGATACAAGATATGGTGTTCAAATTTTTTAATATAAATAAAAGTAAGACGTATGGTAGTGTCACAAATAGTTATCATATTAATTATTATGATATTTTTAAAATTCTTTTAAAAGGAGTAAATTCAATAAAAAATGAAAAAGAAGAAATACATATATTTCTTAAGCATTTATTGAATAAAACAAAAAAAAAATATTCATATACCTGCATTAAAGAATCAAGAGATATGCAATTAAGCACTGAAGGTAAATTTGATAATTGTCTATTACCATTACATATATATAGTAATTCTCATGAAATATGTAAAGAAGTATTAAAATATGCTATTTGTAACAATGATTTAGTATTAACATTAAAAATAGTCGATACCTTATTAACAATAACAGTATATGAAAACTCTTTAAAAAATTTGATACATTTCTTAAATACAGTAGCAGAATACATAATTATACCTTATTTAAAATACGAAATGAAAACATACCATAAAAGTGTTAATGAAAGACCCACTTGTAATAAAATTGATACAAAAACTTATGAAACAAAATTAAAAGTTGAAAATAATAACATTAATAACGAATATTGTAAAAACTATACTAATTTAAAGAAATTAATTTGTAAAATTCCATTGCATGAATATGAATCACTAAAACTTTTAGAGTTACTTTCTTTACAATACCCAATGTTTTTGAAAATTCATGATAAACCTCAAAGATGTTTAAAAGGAATTCCTAAGCCATGTGAATATTATAGTAATATACTTCCTACTTATGGATCTTATATATTTCAAATTGTTGTTTCTTTTGAAATAGATAATTCTATAAAAGTATTAGATGAACTAGGATCCAAATGCAAAATATTGTTTCAATTAACTGAAGATGATAATAATGAAGATCAATTAAAAAATAATTCAAGTGATAACATAAATAAATATAAGGAATATAACTTTTTAGAAATTGATTTTCAGCAAAACTATATGTATACTAAATCTACTAAATCAAGGAGCGCAATAAATTATATGAGAGAAAAGCAATTTGAAAAAATAAACTATGATAAATCAAATCAAATGAAAAACATTAAGAATAATGATGAAAAAAAATACAAAAATAATATTTTAAACAATGATTTTATAATAAATGAGAAACATAAAATAAAAAGTAGTGAAAGGAATAAACATATAAATGTATATGATGTGACAAATATGAACACAATTGTGTTTGATATATTGATTGATCAAGGATGCTTTATTGATGAAGGAAATATATATGACTTTCAAAACTATCATGGAAAAATAGTAATTTATTCAAACGGAAAACATTTATTATCAACTAATATAAAAAAAATTGGTTCATTTGAAAACCATGTTGTATCCAATAGTAATATAAAACTAAAAGTATTTACTTCTCGCAGTTGCAGCTTTGAGTTTCCAAAAGAGTGCATTTGGTCTTCCGCATTTGTTGATGATTTAGTAAATAGAAAATTAATCCCAGAAATAAACGAAAATTTTCTTCTTAAAAATCCTATTAGTATAATAGAACTTTACAATAAGGTATCTACTTCATTAAATCGTTATATATATCGCTTTTGTGATTGGAAAGATAACGATTATAAAAAAATAATTGAAAGAGAGACATCATATACATTGTATAATAACATAGATATTTATACATTTGAAGAACTAGTTAAATATATAGAAAACAATAATAAAATTCTTAAAGCATTATTTAAATTAACAAAAAATTGCCTAATAGAAAAAGATAATAATAATTTCAACAAAGATTCAAATGAATTTTATGCAGATCAATTTGATTATTATTTTAGAAAATACAGAGAAAATTTATATGAATGGAATCTAATATCTGATACTCAAAATTGTGCATTAAGCGTTTTAAAATTATATTTAAAGGACAATTTAAACACTGAGAACAGAATAGAAAATAATGAAAACTTTTATTCTTTGTCAGAAAGATTAATGAAATCCTTTTTAAAAATAATTAAACTAAAAAGTCCTTTCATAAATAGGGATGATTTTTATATAATTAAAAATTATGAAATAGAAGAATTGGATCTAAACGGATGCTTATGGTTATTAAGGAGAAATGTGTTTCAAATACTTCTGCAAGCAGATAAAATAATTATAAGTAACATATTTATGAGAATAAGTATTGAAACCATTTTAAATCTACTTAAATTTTTTTCTGATAACAATAGCATGGATTCACAAATGATACTGAAATTATTGAAATCTCTAGAAAATAAAGGAATTTTAGAAATAATGATGAAGCGAATGCTAAGTGCTCCATCTAAAAATTATTCGGGTATCTATAAATATGTAATCATGTATCCAAATGATAGTTACTTAAAACCTCAAAACATGAATTCAAGTGTATTTTTTTCTTCTTCTTCTAATTCCAATATTTATAATACTAGTTTTGATAATTTAAACGAAGTTAATTTAAGCAGTAACAAAGATGAAAAAAGAAAGAAAAGAAAATATTATGAAGAAAACAAACATGAAATAGAAAGATATGAAAAAAGAAAAAAAAATATTAAATCTAGAATTATTGATGCCACCCATTTTGGTCTTTTTGTAGAAGAGTTAATTAGTCTAATAGAGCTTCAAACATATAATGCCATTAATATACCAGTTGTACAGAATAATGAAGAAAACGATTTTTTAATGGAAAATAAAACTTGTGATGTTATTCATAAATTGTGTACATTTTATGAGGATGAATCAAAAAATGAAATTTATCTATATTATAATTATTTTGATATATATATTAAGATAATAAGTGATATGAAACAAAAAAATAATAATGTAAGTAATGCAAGTGAGGTAGCATCTATTTTTTTAAGAGAAATTGTTTTAATGCTTACCACATATATACTAACTATATCAAGTGAATATGAATCTGATAAAGCTTTTTTATATCAACCTGTTATTCCGTTTTATAACTTGCATAATGAAATGTCAAATATAAAAATTGAGAATAAAGAAAAAAATAACTTACAAGAAGGACATTTAAAATGTGATGAAAAACAGATGTTTGTAAAAGATTGCTTTAATAAATCATATAATTCAATGAATCAACTTGATAATACTTTGAAATGTGATTTTGATGATATAAATAGTTGTAATAATGGGTATAGTAGTTATGAAAATCAAGATGATGCTCTGGAAAATGGGAATGGATATTCATTAAAATTTAATAATTATGATAAAAACGGAAAATCATGGATTCCGTTAATTTCTAACCAAATACAAAGTTCAGTAGATGATTTATCATTTCACTCTGATGATTCATGCTCACATTTGTATAAGAATAAAAATAAATTATCATCTTGCATTCAAAATAGCTTAGAAAGCCTAAATCACATAGGAGAAAATACAAATAAAAAAATGAAAAATGAGTCGCATATTAGCAAAACTAGTTCTACAGTTTTATCTGAATATAACTTTAGCTCTGATGAAACTGAAGAATTTTATTTTAGAAAAAATTTATTAGATTTTAACGAAACAAATAGAGATTCATACAACTTTAAAAGTCAATTAAATGAAATTATATATAGAATTTCAAAAAAGAAAAAATTTGATAAAGATAGAAAGAAACTTAAATATCTTAAAAAAAGAATGAAAAAGTATAAAAACGATTCAAAAAAATTAAACTTTATTTTTTCTCTTTTAGAAGAAATATTAAAAATTATGCTAGGAGTTGGTTTACGTGTTTTGTCTAGTATTTCATATCATTATTTATATGAAAAAAACGGTATGCAAAAATTTATATATATATTTGGATCAAAAATAATAAGAAATGACATAAATGAAAAAAATTCATTTCTTCAATTATGTGAAAATATGATAAAACCTAAAAGTTTAACATTATTACAAGCATGCAATTTCATCATAAGTGGAATAATTCCCTGCTTAGGTTATGTTACAACCCTATTTGTTGATAAGAAAAGCAAAAAATATTCTTATATAAAGGAATTAAACAACTATTTATCTTTAAAAATGGCTTTAAATATTTGGCCAATGTTTTTGAAAATAACTTTGCAAGGTCTGTTAACTTCAAGACATTTATCCTCTGAAATGTCTGTTCACAAAGATAATTTGCATCCAATAGCAGAATGCTGCATAAGTATTACTAGTTTAGCTACGCATTTTTTAACATTCTTTACAATCATGACTGATAATTTAAGCAAATATGAAATATATATTAACATGAGAAAAAATATGAAAATGTCCACTTATCATCCAATACCCATGATTTTAATTAATTCAGCAAAATATATTCGCATTTCATCAAAAAAAAATAAATATTATGATTTTGAAAAGGCCATAAGAACTATATTGTTACAACTTACTGATTGTTCTGTATGTGATTATGAAAATTATGTTTTTAATCACTACATGATTCCTCAAAGCATTTCAAATTTTTTATCAGCAACAAAGGATACAAATGAGATAACTTTAATTAATGATCCACTATCCGATAAATTAACAACTAAATCAACCTACGATGATAATATTATAAATAAAAATAATTCATTGGAAAATGAATTTATTAAAACATATCAATCAACATATGAAGAAGAAACTACTAAAAGTACTTATAAAAAAGGAAATTTGAAACAAAAAATAGAAAAAAAGAATGCAACAAATGAAAAATTTAATATGTGTAATAAAAAAAGCATTGAATTTTTAAAGGCTTTAATGAACAACGATAAAGATGCCATAAAATATTTAGGATCATTTTATCGTGTATTTCACAAAAATTTTGAAAGAGCTCAAGTGGCGTTTGTGGCTGTGTTTTTGTATCTTATAGGATATAATCATAACCCAGTATGTGATATTGATGACAATTCTAAAAATGCTGATAACATAGAAAAAAGCGAAAATATATCAGTCAACGAAACACTGGAACATAAGAAAATAAACTTAGCTTGCAATTTAGCTAGACAGGGAGTTGTAGATCTTATATCTAAAAGTCAGACACAATTTCAGAAAAAAAACCTCGAATATAAGTTATCCTCTAAATCAAAAATCGATGAGAAAAAACAAAATGAGAAAAGTTTAGAATATCTCGAATCAGATAATAAAACATTAGATGAAATGGAATTCAAAACACATTCAAATAATGATTTGAAATATTCATTAAATACAAGGAACAATTGCACAAATTCTGGAAATAGTAATAATCAAATAGAATTTCTCTTAGATAAAAAAAATAAGCAGAATAATTTTTCTTTTGAACATAAAAATGATGATTACACTTCAAGTAATTTAAGTAAGGAGGACATAAATTATTTAAACGATGCATTACCTAATACGGAAAAGTGTAGTGATAAAAGTAATGAATTTATAACAATGGATTTAATAAAAAAAAAAAGAGAAAAACAAATAGATAAAATATTAAAAAAATGTGAATGGATAATAAATACATACCCTTTTGGTTTATGCTCTATAAATGTAAGAACAAATTTTTCTCATGAATGGGATGAGCATTTTGTATTTATGCGTAGAAATTCCTATGACATACCTATTACTGTTAGAAAAATCTATTCAGATAGAAGCAATTACCATATGATTCAAGAAGCTGCCACCATGCCAACATTCACTACATGTTTGAAAGCAAATGTTTCTTCTTTGAGTTATTTGGATCAATTATTATGTCATCAAAATAAAATTGATGAAAAATTGGAATATATGCAATTTAGTACAGAAAATTTTTTTGGTAAAGCAACAACGAAAAACCTATACCTTCTAAAAAGATTATTAAAAACATACAAAAGAAATGTAAATATAAAAGAACCTAACAATGCAGATATTAAATATGATAAAAAAATTCTTGAAAATCATAATCAATTAAATGCCTATTTGTGTAATAACAAACATACAAACTTTTCAAATAGTTGTCCTAGTTGTGACAGCGGAAATTATTATAATGATGAATCAAATTATTATATAAATTATAATTTTTCTGAGAAGAACAATGGTAATTCTAATAATTCATTAGTGTTAAAGTGCAATAGTAGTAAAAATAACATTAAAAATAATGGAGAATTATGGTTAAATTCACGAATGACTAAAAATTATATTTTTCAGCAAGATAATGATGCACAAATAGAAGAACTCAATTCAAACATTTATTATAAATCTGATTGTTTTCTTCTTCCACTTAAATCGCTTGATGAAAATGATTATATAATTAGGAATATGCATAATACAAAATGGGATAATAGTACAAGCCATATTACAAAATATACACATTCAGTATTTGATTATGATGAAAATATATCTGATCTTAATTTATCCGAGATTAATAACAAAGGCAATGAAATTAATAAATGTCAAAAAGAATCATCTGTGAATAGACAAGAATTTTTACATGAATATGAAGAAGAAATGAAAAATCTACAACCTTCAAACAAAAAAAAAAGTTTTGCATCATTTGATTATTTCAAAAATAAATATCATCATATAAATTCAAAGGATATAATTATAAATAATATGTTCGAACAAAGTATTGATCCTAAAGATTTATTACAATTAAAGGAGATATTAAATTTTTTAATTAATGGACCCGATCTTGAAACAGTACTAAATATTATAAGAGTTGAACAGTTAACATCTTTATGTAGATATTTAATAAGTAGAAGTTTAAAATCAATGTTGTGTGCAGGAATTTTTGGAGGAATTAAAAATCCAATAATAAATATAAGCAATAAAAACTGTTTTTCCAACAAGAGGTCACAAAAAGGATATAATTCTAATTCAGATGATATCAAAAAGAAAAAAAAAAGTGATTATAACGAAAAAAATACAAACATAAATGATCAACATAAGTTAAATGAAAAAGATCAAGATGAATCACATATATCAAATAATACTAAAAAAGAAAAATATTCTTCATTTAGGAAAAATAAGTTCCTTATTTTGTGTGAAAATGATAAAACTAATTTACTTAGAGATCAAAGAAAATATAAAAACCTTGATTTAAATCAAAAATATAATAAAAATGATAAAAGAAAAAAAAGTATTTTTGAGCATTGGAGACAAAAATCTACAAAAAGTATGCAATGGCCAGTTATATTAGATTTACTCGTTCCATCTTCAAGTAGGGGAACATATAATGAATGCAACAGGATAATTTCTAATGTCGAACCATCTTTATTTTCTGTGCAAAATTATGGATGGATGCTCTTAAAATTATTGCATATTATAATTATAAAATTCCGAAATATAACACCTTTGAAAAATATGATTAATGAAATGAACAATAATAATAAAATTAGTAATTTTAACAAAGAAAATTTAAAAGATGAATTTTCATATTGTTACTGGTTCACTAGGCCTATGGAATATGCTCTTTCTTTTACATTAACTGATATTACTAAAAGTATTTGTATTTGGTATTTGAGATACAACCGCAAAATGATAGTGAATTCTTCTAATTTTTCTCAAATTATAAAAAATTCGATGAATACACTATGGATTGAAAGTGTCCTAAGGTTAATAGCTTTGCAGATATGTTTAAGAGTAAAACCTTTAAACGACAGCAGATATGTAGTACCATTCTTATATCATATGCTTACAATCTGCCAACCCTTGTTAAGAGAAGTGCATATAAGTAGTGAATATCTGAAACGTCATTTATTCGGAGGAAATAAAAAGTTATTTTTTAATGATCAGAATAATTTCGTTTTCAAAGTAAAATGTTCTTATTGTAACAAATCTATATCCAGACAAGCTAAAAATAAAACACCAAAAATTTCTCATATCAGCAAAAATTTTAAACATATAAGAAAAGGAAATTCTGTTGAAATGTTATCTACTAAGAGAACTTGTAAAAATGGAGTAGAAAATAATATACTTGATGTAAAGGGGTATATACATTCAGAACACATACAGAAAAAACAAAAAAAAATAAAGCAAAAAATTGTTAAAATGAAAAATTATAACTCATCAGAAGAACATGAAAATGAAGTTATACTTGACAATGTAATAACAGGAATTGTTATATACCATGCAATTATAGAAGAAAATGCTCCTGTAAATAAATTGAAGATTGTACAGAATCTAAAAGGTTTTCAAATAAAAAAAGAATATTTGTATAAAAACAAATATTGGGCTCTTTGCACTCAGCAATATAAAAATTCGTCCTTATACACTTTACCTTTAAGAAATCTTAACAGGTCTATAAAACATACGAATAAAAATAGTTTAGTGAATATCAATAAATTTGATTCTTGTTACTGGTTTATCAGTGGAGATCCAGTTTATAATATTTATGGTAATGCTAAAACTATATCAGATGCGCAATTAGAAATATGTATTGATAATAGTTACGATATGAATGTAAGATCTTTTCTTAAAAAAAGCAATTATGAATTAGGGTTTTCAATTAATACAGAGTCAAATGACACAATGAATATTTGGATAAAAAGAAAATCAACTATTATAAATAAAGAGTTAATAGAATATAGTGACCCTAATGCAATTAGTTCTGTAGTCAATTTACAACAAAAGGAAAAAATAACTGAAAATGAAGAAACGCCATTAAAAAGTAAATTTAATATTTGTAGCAAAAAAAAGGATACGTTAAATAATAATAAGAATAATAAATTCCTAAATTATGAAAATGAAGATCAAGAATATTTATCTGAAAATTTTTGCGAATGTAAAAAACTTTCAACAGATCAAGATTTTTCTAATGATAATAATGATAATTCTTATAAAAACACGCAATCTGAAAGTTGCAGAAATGATGCTAGTATAAATTATGATCAGAATGATAACTTGAATTATAAAAAGCTAAAATTAATAAGTTGGAATTTGATTAAAACAATTCTTTGGGGAATATTGGTTTCTGGAGAAAATATGGAAATTGATAATACAGATCAAGTAGTAACGGAAAGTACTACTAAATATATTAAAAAGAAAATATGTAACATTCATGATGAAATGGATGACAATTATAATTATAAGAATTATAAATCTCAATTCCATTCGCTTCAACGAAAAAGCCTCATAGAATCCGTATTAAAAATGATTATGTCAGTTTTAATTAAATTATGCAATATTGTAAAAATATATAATGATTTAACAAAAAATCAAAAAGGTTCATTTTATATTACTATTAATAACACAAAAATAAACAAACAACAAATTCAAGATTGTGAGAAAATGATTACTGATTTTATGTATTCATTAATTAATTGTGTTCGAAACTCACCAACTGCTGCAGTTACACTTCTTAAATGTTTCCTCTTTGGTCAAGACAATCTTACTTATCGTTTTAAAAAATTGAACAAACTAAACATAAATTGTGATTTATATAAGCTAATTACTGAATGCATAAAAAAGGCTCCCAATGACTCTGATGAAATAACTGTTTTTTTTAATAGATATTTTGATAAAAATATATTAAATAATTATAATATTGATCAAAAATATTACACTCTAAACCAAGAAGAAAATATGAAGTGTACCATAGATAGTCCCTTAAAGAACAGTGTTTATAATATGAATAGCAACAATGTTAATATATCTTCAAAAGAAAATATTAAATATAATAGTTCTATAAAAAATAAAGAAAAAGATACAAAAATATCAAATTTTTTTCTTAAATATTGTGACTCTAATATAAGAAAAAATTATAACCAAAGTAAAATATATGGCTTTTTTTTATTAAGATGCTTACCTCCTATTAAAATGTTTCCAAAACAATTAATTGTTCAAGAAACAAAAAAATTATTTTATAGTGAAATGAACTTTATGAATGAAAACAATGAATCTAAGATTCATGAAAAAGGTGATAAAAAAATGTTAAACATCATTGAAATGCCTCAAAATAATGACTTACAAATAAATTCTAGTTCCAAAGAAAATATTTCTCCGAATGATTATCATATGGATGGAAGTATAACTAATAATGAAGGAAATTCTCAGTGCAATAGTACAAATAATATATTGGGATTAATACCAAGAATATCTTATAGAAATCATCCTTTTGATGAATTACCTCAATCTGAATTTTTTATGTCTAGTAGACCTTCTGATGATTTCGAAGTTCATATGGAAGGAAGAGTTTTGAGAGTTCTACGTGGTTTAAATTTAGGAGGAGTCGTTTTATGCTTAGCACCTCTGACATTTCCAGCTTTAAATATTGGACCAAATGAAGTAAATGACATAATTAATTTTCGTATCCAAACAAGAGGACGTTTTGGTGTAACTGTTGCACCAGCTGAATGTGTTTTATCAAATGTTTCTGAAGTATTCGACAGAAATGATGTTGTCGGATTCCGTACTAATATGTGTCCTCCATTTAGACATGATGTATTTGCAGCAAATGTACAATATGAACTAGGAGACTTATTAAGTGTAAAATTTAATGTAGAAGATCAACAAAATCAAAAATGCTTGAGAACAGAACTTATGGTTTCAGGCGTTAGTATTGGATCAGTATTAGAAGTTCTTTTTGAAGCAGACTCTCAAATTGAATTTGAAAGAAGAATGAATTTGATATTTATTTTTCAAGATCCATTGACTATTGTATATGAAGGGCCAACATTTACAATGGAGTATGTAGACCCAAGCAAAAGTAATTCAAATAATTCAAGAAATGAAGAAAAAAATGTAGATGAGGAATATTTAAATGAATTTTATCCATTTTCTGGATATGATAAAAAAAGTATAAGGAAACAATTAAAAAAAATGAAGTTAAAAAAAAAAGAATTCTATGAATCAGTAAAACTCTATCAATCAATTCTTGAATCAGATAATGAAATATTAAAAGATCTGAAAAGTGAAGTTTTAATAAGGATGAACTCCACATTAACTAGCATAGCTCCATATTTAAGATATAGTTCATCACACTATATATTTTCCGAAAATGAGTATCCATGTATTATTGATTTTATACAATCTAAAACGAAGGAATTTGCACCTCTAAATAATATTTCACTTGAAGAAAAAAGGAAAAGTTTTGTAAATATGTACTTCAAGAAGATCCTATCTACAAAGGACAAAAATGAATTCATAAAAGAAAAAATAGATAATTCATCTCTTAATGATAAAAATAAAAATAATAAAACTGATGATCCCATAAAAAAAAAATATAATGAAAATCAGGATTTATCTTATGGAGAACAGCAAAATTATAATATCAATTATTTTAAAAATATGAATAGCTTAGATAAAAACAATAATTATGATAATTCAAATGAATCTCATGAATATATTATAGAAAAAAATAAAATAACTCAAGATAAAAGTGATCATATTTCATATGTACATCCACACTCTTCGTTAAATATGAATATATACAACAAATACAAAGATAATATAAATATAAATAAATCAATAAGAGAGGTTTTATCTATAATATGCATTTTGGGGTTAAACATAAATGGAAAACCTAAAGAAAAAAATAGAGACCATCGTTTTCATGGTAAAAAATCTTTTCTTGATGAACTTCCTTGGTTATCAAGCTTATCAGATCTGAAAAATTCAGTAACATATAGTTTAGATAGAAAATGCATTGAACTATTCTTTTGCAATTTGGTTGAAATTATATGTAGTAAGGTAGTTTTAAGTGCAATCTTAAATTTTATTACTCACAAGATGAATAAAAACGATTGTGATGATGATAATAGCAAAGATAAAAATAGCAGTAATAGTTTAAAAGCTAATAGAAAAGATAAAAAAAAATTCAAAAATTTAAATACATTAGAATCAAAAGATATTTCAGATACAGAAAACAATATTTATAATCAAAATAATATATATAAGCAAAATATTAGTAATAGCACAAATACCTTAAAAACAAATAGCGGAAACGATAATGGATGCCAGAATAATAGTGCTACATCAGCTAATGCAAACAGTAATAACTGTAATTCATTAATGAATTCTATCTTTATAGAAGAAAATGGGTCATTAGAAGAAGATGAAACAAATGAAGCTTATAAAAATAATATGGAAAATTCATACAAAGAAAAGTCAATAGAGAGAAATTTAAAAGATAAAGGTTTAAATTTAAAAAATAGTTCATTTGGAGATGGGATGTATAAATATTCCTTTTTTGAATATAGTTTGTGTCTAATAGGAACAAAAGCAATTATGTGTTGCTGTAATTTATTGAGAACACTACTAGAAATGAATTGTGATGGATCATACGAACCAAATGAAACAGTTTATAGATCATTTAAAAAACTGCTAAATTTTATTAAAATTTTCCTTTTTGTTGATATAGGAATTAGTGATGTTTTAATTAGATACTTTGCTGAAAAAAATTTAATAGACGTTGATTTTTTATTGAGTAAGCACAAAGGGAAAAATTTTCAAAATTATAATTCATCTTCATTTGTAAATAGTTTTGGGAATAAAACTGCACAAAATACAAAACTTTTTTCTAATAATTCGAAGGATGATTCTATTTATAGCAAAGATACTAACTTTTCACCTTATTATTCACCAAAATGTAATAACTTTACTAAGGAAAATACAAAAAATGAATACATAAACATAGTAGAAATAGCAAATATTTGTGGTATTCCATCTGATTTTCTACAATATTTTAATATATCTATTCCAAAAATTAAAAATCAACAGGTAATAACACAAAATGATACTTTTGACTTATGGATTTATATCATGAATCTTTTAATTTGCTTCAATAGCCAGCACAGATATTCATTATGCTTCCCTTACACTTCCAATAATTTTAATCCAAACTCCATTAAAAATACACTATTCGATTTTGAATATACTAATTCATACTTTTCCAATAGGATTGTACGTAAAACAGTTAAATTTTATGCATCTTGGTTGTTAAAAAAGTATTTAATAGATATAAGTTGTGTTATGGCATTGTTATTACCAAAACTTTTCATTGATGAATTAAAAACAAGTTTAACAAAAATAAATGAAAAAAAATCAAAAGAAGAAATAAATAAAATATATATCGATAGTAATGATAATAAAAATGATAATTTTAATCCAAGTAATACTATGAAGGCAAACATAAATAACATGGAGAAAAATGAATGTTTTTCAAAACAAGCAAATAAAAATTTTGAAACACTAAATAATACAAATGATAGAATATATAAATCCATTAATGAAAAAAATGATAATGAATACGAATTTGTTAATTGCAATTATCGTGATATTAAAGAAAACAAATCATTGAAAGAAGAAAATAGAGAAGAAAATAAGCATAAAGTTTTATGGAGCAATGATGACTGCACACAAAATAAAGGAGAAAGTTTAAATATTAAAATTATACATTGCAAAAAAATTAAAAGAAATAAAAAATTACACAACCTAGGTCTATTATTTAATTCTGAATTAAGGAATAACGAAGAAATGTTAAATATATTTAGCATAATGTATCTGTTTCGCGTTTGTATTTATTATCTTAGTAGAAGCAAAGATTTCAGAAAAGAAGATTATTGGCAAGGATTTCAAGGACAATTAAGAAATGCAAAAATTAAAGAAAATGTTTATAAATTACTTAATGAAAAAAGTTCCACTTCTTCTTTGTTGTACGGATGGCAAAGAATATTTTATCAATGCGTAGTTACATGGGAAGATAAAAACTTAGTAGAACAATTGTTACTAATAATTCAGTCTGAATTATTATATCATTTAATGGGATCAATAGCTCAAACTATGTCACCGAAAAAAGTTAAAGTTGAACAATATTATGCTATTTCACCTTCTGTTCATGTTGCTCATTGGATGCTAGATACTTTTGTTAGACACCCTTTGTGTCCATCCAAAATTAGATCATGTTGTATTACACCAATAACAATTACCTCTTTATTTGGATTAATTATGAATGGAAATAGACTACCAATATTTTTAGGTATAGACGTATGTAGATTAGTTTACTGGTCCTCTATAGTTTCTATATGGCAAAATAGCAAGATTCATAGAAAATATAGGAGATTAAGCAACATAGATATGTTAACTCAATTTAATGTTTGCACCGAATTTAACACTGATAACGATGATATTCAAGATACATCAAATAGAAATTATATTAAAAAGAAGAAAGAAAAAATTAAATATACAGAAGAAAAACTTAAAAGAATAAAATGCAATTATTACTCTTTTTTAAGTTACATATTTCAGTGTGTTAATACTTGTGGGTCATCAATTTTTAACCAAATTATGAATATAAATAATGCAAATAATTATAAAAATAATACTAGCAAAAATAAAGTCAATGACAATAATAATAACAATATTAGAAATAATAATGATCATGTTAATAACATAATAGATAATTTAAACAATAATATTAATGATATCCTTAACTGTATACAGAATTCAACTAATAATAGGGTGTTAAACAATAATCTTAATGTAGTTAGTAGTATAAGTAATGAAACCATTTATAATTTAAATATGGCAAATAGAAGCAGCCCTAATATTTCTTCAAACAATATTAACAATACTTTACAAGAAAATGTAGAAGCAGTTAATACATGTAATGGCAATAATTCAACTACTTCTAATAGTTTATACATTAATCCAACTTGTGTAAATGGAAAAAATGAAAAGAAAACTTCATTTAACTATTCTAATTTTGATATATCTGAAAAAAAAGAACAAGGAAAATATAACTCTATAAAAATTAACGCGGCTTTATTAATTCATTATTTTGCGTGTGCCGCATATTATATTAAAAAAGTTGATATATATAATGAGATGCATTACTATAACGAAAATATGCATATGGATTTTAAACAGTATTGCTTATACTTGTATGTTGTTGATCATATATCAAAGATATATTCTAAATATACAAAAAATAGTAATATTAAAAGTTGTGTAAAAGATGATCGAACAAACAAAGAATGCAGTTTCTCTAACGTAATTAAAGAGGACCAAAATTGCAAGTCATCATCTATTTATGATTATGTGAATAAGGAAAAAACAAAAAGTTATTCATTAAACAATGAAAATTTTAGAAGTGATTCTTCTAATATATGTAATAAAAATGATTTTCTTTTAAATTATGAAAATATAGAAAAAAAAAGTAGCAAAAATATTTTAGATGATGATTACGAAGGGCATTACCCGGAAATATTTGTTGATTATGTACTTCAATTACCAAAAAAAGTTTCTGCAAATGTTATAATTGATATTAATGAAAAAATACATTACATATCTTCTTCTAATTCAGACATCATTAAATTAAAAATAAAAGATATATTTCCTTTACCAAAAAAAAAAGAGGAATCTTTTATTGAAAAATCAAATTATATGATAGACAGTCATAATGAAGGCGATAATAGAGATGTAATAGAATATAATAATGTTTCTCTTAATGATTATAACAGCATTGAAAAAGCAAAAAAATTAAATAAAACTGAAAAGGAGATAATTAAAAAGATATGCAGAAAAAAATTTAGACATCCAAATATAATTTTTAGTGCCGACATCGATTTCAATTGTATTTTAGATGATGTTAAACTTAATAGTCTTCAAGAATTTCTATACCTTGAAGTACAATCTTTAGATACGGATTTAGATTTTGACAAGACAGGAAAAATTAATTTAGGTTCTTACATTGAATTAACTGATATATATAATTTATCATATCCATTTTTTTCATTGGGTAGTTTGCCATTATATTCAGGATCTTACACTTCTTCATTTACTATATGTCTAGCATTAACTGATTATAACATAGATAAATTACAAGGAAATTTGAATATTATTCCTGATATAGAAATTGGAGTATTGAATGTAAAAAGGCATTTTGAAGTAAATGATGATATATTATTAAATGACTATGATAAAAATGACTATAATGTAGTATGTGGGTATAAGAAGGAAAATATACCAGTAAATAAACAACATTACGAAAGGAATGTTTCTTATAAAGATAACCATAGAGAAAATGTTAATATAATTTACAACAATAAAACTTATTCAAAAGTTGAGAGAACAATGGATAAAACATTAAAATATTCTTCTTGTTTATCAAAAAATACGGAAAAAAAAGATTTTATCAATAGAACAAAAAGAAACGAATATAATTATGACTATTCTTTGAAGAAGCGAGCTTACAATCTTCGTAATATAAATAAATATAATAAGAAGTCTATAGAAAATTGTTTAAGTAATAAAAAAATTGATAAGAACAAAAAATCCATAAAAAATTATGAGACGGAAGATGATAATAAAAATAAAAGTATTAAAAATGGTTTATATAATAATATATATTCTGAAACATTATCTGATATTGCCCCTATTAATGGAAATAATTATTTTGCTGAAAGCAACAAAGTAAGTAAAAAAATAAACAATATGATCACTCTAAATGTTCTAAATGGTACAGTTAACACAACGGGATTATTTTCTGATAATTCTATTGAGAAAGTAAATCCAATAATTTTGAATAAAATATCAGATTACATAAATATTACAGTGAAGATAATTGGTAAACAAGTAATATGGTTTGCAAATAATATATTAATTTTTCGTAAAGAATTTGGTGCAGAAATGAGCGAATTTGTGCCTTTAATAAAGATCTTTCCTAAAAAATCGCCATCTATAGATAAATTTAACAATTTTAACAACGTATCTTTGCACATTAAGTTTAATGAAATGACACAAAAAACTTTCATTACTCCTTTATCAAAATTTTACTTTAAATTTGAAAATATTCATAAAATGAAATATAAAAATGATTGTACAAATGTACATGAATATTGGAAAAAAAACTTATGGAAACCTAAATGTTTTATTTTACCTGATAATTCAACAACAATAACAACAATAAGGAAATTAATGCCTTTAATAATACCACAATCATCTAATAAGATATTAATAAAATATAATAACCATAAGCAAGAACCAGATGATTGTACGAATAATTTTTCTAACACTATGTTTTTTACACCCAATGTTCAAATTAAAAGTGCACCAATAAATTTTACATATTATATATATTGCAAGCATGTACAAGGAGAAAAATGGAAATTTTTATCATTAGAAAGTATTAATAATATAAAAAATATATCAATTAAAAGTTATTATGGTTATATAAATTTATATAAACAATCGAACATAAATAAGATAGATTTAAATGGACTAAACAACTGCGAAAAGAAATTTGCAAAAACGAATTTGAACATTCATAATCTATTAGATACACAAAAGCCTTATACTAAAATTTTAGAAACAAATTCAAAGAAAGATTTACTAAAAGAAAGTTCAAATAAAATAATTAAGGGTGATTTAAATTTTCAGATTCATTTAAATAAAATAAATAAAAATCAAGACGTGGACATAAACACTAAAAGTAATTTAGACATTGCAAATAATTTATTTTTAAAAAATGAAAACAAATGTAATGAAAAAAATAAGAAAAATAGAACTAGTAATATAAGCTCAAAAGTAAATTATTATGAATTAGATAATAAAAATAGAACACATTATACCTCTTATTATCAAGAATTTATTCCAGAAGGCAATACAGAAAATTATATTCATAGTAACTATATTAATGATTACATTTCGACAAATAATGAAAATAATTTGCATGTAAAATATAAATTTAGTAATTTTCCTAAAATTAAAAAGGATCTAGTTCACAACATAAAATATAGCTCAATTCAAGAAATTAATGATTCCTCACTTTACAATGTAGAAGCTATATATGATATGAAAAAACAAAAGCAAATTTTTATTGATTCAAATAATAAAAAGAAATATATATACAATAAAGATAATCCTAAAAAAAGTCAAATAAATGATAATAATTGTGAATTTATAAGTAAAATTTATAATACACATTATAAGAATGATAGGTGCATGAACAGAGATTTGTCAAAAAAAGACGAATATAATGAAGTTGATAAAATTACAGATAATTATAATTTTAACGAATTAAATGACTATTCCAGTAATTGTTGTATGTATTATATAGGTTGCAAAGAATTTAAGTTGAGTATAGATTCATATGATTCTATCTTTCCTGCTGAACCTTTTATTTTTAATTGCACTGTTAATTTTAATGTATATGATAGTCATAAAAAGGGAAATATATATGAAAGTTCTATTGGTATTATATGGGGTATTTATCGTTGGCTATGGACAAGTAATGGAAATTTTATTTGTCCCTTGAAACTTCCATTATGTACATCAGAACTTCCATCAGATAAAATACAAGAATGCGAAATAAATGTTGTTGGATTTAAATCTAATGATAATTTATGCATAGAATTTCAACCTTTATATCAAAGTTTATTTTTTTATAAGAATGGAAATTATGAATTTGGATTTAAATTTGATACTTTTTATAATTATAGAAATAAGGAAAATATATCAATGAATGAAAAAAGTAAAGATATAAAAATATCAGAAGTAAGGAATGTATCAAAAATATCATGTTCTAGTGGCATGAGCAATATAAATTTCAATGATTTGAGTATTAAGACAAATATAGATAATAGATATAGAAGTACTATAAATGATAAGAATGTTATACAGAAGGATGTATTAAAAATTCACACTGAAACTGATAAAAATGATAATAATAATAATATCTATAATTCACATATGGATTTAAAAAGCTCTTTCAATTCATTATATAGTTCCAAAGTAAATAATTCAAATACATGTTCTATTTCTAATGAACAAAAATGTAATAAGCGAATAAATGAAAAAAATAATGTAAAAACAAAAGAAAAAAAATTAAATATGTATTTAAGTAATTCTGATAATATAATGGAGGAAAACCAGAATGAAACTGTAATAAAAATTAAAAATCATGTAAATATGATTAAATTATATAACTCCTTATTAATAAATGATTGCACAAGTGTTTCTTCTATATTAACCAATAATCCAAATTTATTGTTAAAATCAAGTGAAGGTCAACCTGAAATATCATTTGAACATTATGAAATAAACAAGGAAGAATTTCCGTATGAACTTATTACATCCATGAAAAATGTTAAATATGATAAACATTTAACACCCTTAATGCTAGCATGTAAAATAGGGTGTGAAGAGTGTGTACAAAATATTATAGAGATAGGTAAAGTAAACCCTAATAAATATTGCTATAAAATGGAAAAAGAAACTCCTCTAATGGTTGCAGCACAATACGGATATAGTAGAATTATATGCATGCTAGTTTGTATGTATGGTGTACAAATAAATAAAAAAGATTCAAAAGGAAATACTGCTTTGCATAAAGTTTTATTGAATTCTTGCAATCATGGGAAAAAGAAAAATTCTACTTTTAAAATTGTTCAACTACTGTTAAAATTAGGTGCTGATATAACTATTAAAAACAAAAAAGGGATTTCAGTGGAAGATTTATCGCAAACAAATCTTATAAAAGATAAAAAAGTTGAAAATCTTCTAAAAATGTGGACGAGATTATCCTTAAAAAGTAAAAAAGAAGATAAAGCATGCTATATCAATCGGGAAATTATACCTGGCCTACTATCTAATTGTTCTATAGTTGTGGGATTTCCAGTATATTCAACTAATAATATAAATAGTGTTTCATCGGTTAAAATTAACTCATTTGTTGTAGGAGGTGAGGAATTAGTTAATATAAAGGAATGTAAACAAATAAAAAGTTATAATAATTGGGATATAAGAAAAAAAGAAGTAGAGTATTATAGTAGTGATATTTCGTCCAGAAGCTCTTCAATCTCAAGGTTCTACAACTTAGAAAAAAAAATAAAGCAAGACAATGAAAAATATTATGCTTCAAAATTTAATAAATTTCAAGGGGAGTTTTCTTATTTACAAGAAGAAAATGAAAAAAGTAAAAATTGTATTCAAAAAAAAAACTCCTTACAGTTAAATACATTTAATGAAGATAAAAAAAAATATGAAATAAACAATGAAGACAATACAGAATTTATAGGCAAGATAAATCAAGAAAATTATGTTAAAAAAAGGAATAATACGTTGTATGATTCAAAAGATTATATGAATTCATTATTTGAAAAAAATAATAATTCTTTATATTTAAGGAAACATAGCAAAACAGAAGATGGTAATAATATAGACAAATCAAAATTTTCAAATAACCTTTTATTTATGCAAAAAGAATACTCCAGTGACACAAATATTTATATGAATGATAATTGTGTATATAAATGGAAGAATAAATATAAAATGAATCATAATTTACATAGTGATGAAGGAAATAAGTATCATAATAATTTGGATATAGAAAAAAACGAGGATACAGATAATTTAAAAAACAGAATAAATTATGATAGTATTAAATGTAATTCATCAAAGCAGAAAAAAAAAAAATTTACAAATGACATATTAAATTATATAGTAGTTCATAAATATTGTAATAAAAGGTGTGTATACTCTCATAAAAATTTTATAGATGAAAAAAATTACAAAAATATTTTTTTAGAAAAGGAAATTAAGAATAAAGAAAATAACAAAAATAAAAGTTATAATTATATGAAAAAAGAAATTAAAAAAAGCTTTATATATTCTAAATTAAAAAACAATAGATTCAATTACCAAGATTTAAAATTCTCTCTCATAGAATTTATTAATAAATCAGGAATATTTTCTGATGTTTTAAAAAATGCCAATTATTTAGAATCAAAAGATGTTCCTAAATTTGATGAACTAAAAAATACACTACTAAAAGTTAATAATGAATTAGAAATAATTAAAGGATTCAAAGTATTTTTGGAATTATTTAATTTTATATATATGGATGAAAGATCAAAATATTACTTAAATGTTGACTTAAAAAAAAATTTAGAAAATTCTTACAGTATAGTTGATCTAGGTTATATCCTTTTAAAAATAGATAGTTACTGCAATATTTTTAACAATTTTAAATTAAAATGGAAAGATAATGCACATGAAGAATGGAAAAACAAACTTTTAAAAGGAATTGGAATATATAACGAGTTTTATAATGTTAAATGGATAACAGATTCTTATACTTTTTTTAAGTATGAAGAAGAAATCTTAGAATCTGCTTCATTTATAGACAAAATAATACAAAATGGTAACTATATGATATTTTATAATAGCATAATGAATATTATAGATGAAAAAAACGAATTCTTAAAAAACGGCTTTTATGATCCACAAATATTTAATGATGTACTTAAAAATATAGACTTTGAAAATTTAAATAGAGAAACTATTTTATATGATTTTTATTCTAATAAAAACATTATAAAAAATATTTTTCCAGAAAATAATAAACAGGAATTTAATGATAACGATACAAATGAAAATAATGAGAAAAATAAAAATTACCTAAATGAGAGTTTTATAAATAAAAAAGTAAAAGAAAATAAAGAGTTATATCTCCCACATCATGTTGATGAAACAAATATTAGCATAGAAAAAAAACCTAGAAAAGACAATTCATTTGATAGATCCATGTATAAGAATGATTCACAGCAATATATTCCATTGTTTAAAAATTATGCTGAATTTTATAGTGATATAAATGATGATAATAATATAAATAATACTAATGATATTATTGAAGGTAAAGAAAGTAAATATAATAGTATGAATAATACTAATAAAAATATGCATAAAACACCCAATAATAATAAAAAAAGAAATGAAAATGATGATACATTATACAATAAAATATCAAATTGTTATGCAAGTAATAATAAAAAAGAATTCCTAAATAATAATGAAAATGATGACATAGAAAATAAAAAAATAAAAGCAAGCTCTACACTATCTATAGAGTTAGATGGTAACATATATAACTCGAGAGTTAATGAAGAGAAAAATCAAATTTATAATTGTAAAAAATTAAGGAATATTCATAGAATGTTCCCGACAAGGTATGAGCAAGATGAAGTTACAAATAATGATTCTTCATACGAATTTTCGAGTATTTTATTTAGTAACAAGAACGAAAAAAATATAAATAAGTTTACAAGAGAAGAAAATAATAATTTAATTAATTATAATAATAAAAATTATGATATTAATACTTATAAAAATGAAAATATCTATTGCAATAACAAAAATAGGTATATAAATGGTAAAGAACAAAATAACTTAAATAATGTTCCTAATAAATTAAATTTATATCCTTTTAATTACTCCAATAATCTTACTTCAAAAAATTCCTTAGATGAAAGCTTCTATACTGAAAGCTCATACGATGAATATGAAACTGAAGAAAGTGATTTTGATTTAATGTGTGAAATGGATTTTATATCAAAACCATGTGAAAACGAGATAATAAGAGAACAATGTAATAAAATATGGCCACATACGATAGATACATATATACTTCATATATATGATTTAATAAGTAGTTATATGGATTCTCCTGAAAAAATAAGTTTATTTATTTATCATGCATTTGATATAGAAAAAATAAAAAAAAAGTTACCTAGTAAAACATCACAATTATGGAAAAGAATAAATATGTCTTTAGATGAATTTATTGAAGAAATAAAAAAAGTTCATAATTTTACAATGAGGATTATATATCAAAGTAATTATAAGAGATATCGTATGTTACCACCAAATTTTAAAAAATATTTTGTTTTTTCTGATGAATGCTTAAAGAATATTACTAAAAATGAGGTAGTTATGACCATAGAATATTATAAAAATCATATACATGAACAAAATAAAAATTTGTTTTTAAGAATTATACAAGATCGTATAATATTATTGAATAAATTTAATTTTTACTTTGAAAGTTGTCTACCTATAACAGGAATATTATTCAATAAACCTCTAATTGAATTGGAAGAGCAAGGATTAAGGACTCTAGAATGTCCTCTTTGCTTTTTTATGAGTAATGATAAATACTTTCCATGGTATATAAACAAAAATAAAAATGATTTCCATTATTGTAATAGCAATTTAATTCAAGAAAAAGACGAATTAGATAGTAATACCACTAAAAATACTTCTATATTAAGTATGAACAATAGTTATGTGAACGTATATATAAATGAAGGTTATAATTATTCTACAGAATTTAATAATTTAAAAGAAAATAAGAATAATATAACCTCAGAAAGTTCTCAAAATCAAAAAAATAAATGCGATAATTTAGAAGACATAGAGTATGAAAAAAATAAAAACGGTAATTTTTCAAAAAAAAAAAGCAGAAATAATCTTCTTATAGATAAAGCAGAATCATTATCTAAAAACAATATACCATATAAAAATGATTGCAGTAGCTATATTAATTTTTCGAATAAAAACAATTCAAATTCTAATAATATAAAGAAAGAATTGTTTTTCGATAATTCAGAAAATTTACGGAAATTAAATGAAATAATTCATTTATATAGCGATGAAAGTAAAAAAGAAAACTTAAATGAGATATCAACTGGTTGTGTTAAATATTGTAAAAATATATATTCTTCAAATAAAATGGTTTTAGCAATGGGCTCATCTGATTTACCTATACAATTATCCTCATACTTATTTATTAAAAAGCTACTTAAGCATGATACTGTACTAAAATTATGGAAAGAATGTATGAAATATATTACTATATCAAGTTCAGAAAAACCAAATTTAACATTAAGAATAGATAGAGGTATGGCTGCCACAGCAAAAAATATTTCTCACACTATGTGGTATCAAAGTACATTTTCATTATTAAATGTAGATACTTATAAACTTAGAGGAAAACCGAGAGATAGACCATTTATGGTTGTTTTCATAGGAGAAGGAGCAACTGATTTTGGTGGTCCGTTTCATGAATATCTTTCATCAATTTCAAGAGAAGTTATGGGAAAGTTATCGGATTCACCTGATAAGAGTTTGCCAGTTTTTCCTTTGTGTATACCTTCTCCAAATTACACACAGGCTATAGGAGTGCATCAAGACACCGTAATTATAAACCCCAAAAGTACTCCATACATAATAAAAGAATCAGATTATGTTGGTGAAATAGATCTCATTGATAATTTGGAGAATTACAGATGGCAAATATTACACATATATAATTCTATTAAAGATATAAAAAAAAAATTACAGAGATCTCATAAAAACTTATATTCAATGTATAAAAATAGTCAAGAAAGTAACTTTTCTGAGGAAGATATAAAAAAAAACAGGGATGAAATTTATGGACAAAATTGTGTAGATAAAATTCAAACAGAAAACTTCTCTAATTACAATAAAAGTACAAATATAAATGAAGGTGATATTGAAAATAATAATTTACACAATGATGAAGCCAGTAATAACAAACATATGTGCGATAACAATTTAAGAAAATATTATAATAATAGTAATATAAATAATGATAACAATGATGTATTATTAAATGAAAAATTTAATTCAAAAAAAGATAATAAAAATATAATTAGCAATGCTATGGATAAGGAAAAGACATATCTTTTTGGTAGTAAAAAGTCAGTTACCTTTGAAAAGCTAGACGAAAACAATAAAATACCTTTCCACATATATAACAAATATAATTGCTTCTATGATAATTCTATATTCGATGATGATCTACTTGAAATTATAAATAATTCTTCCTTAAAAGCTAGAAAGGCTTTTCTAGATAAAATATTGAAAAAAAAAAAAAATGAAGATAATGATTCATTGCAAAAAGAAAATGAAAGGAAAAATAAAAATATGGGAGATAATTTAATGGGTAATAATAAAAAATCGAAAGATTCAAATAAAAATAGCTTACATAATGTAGAATATGATGAAAAAACAATTAAAGCAATGGAATTAGCTATGTATGAATCCTTAGGTAGAGTAATGGGAATGTGTGTTTGTATAGCATCAACATTAAATATATGCTTTAACCCTATAATTTGGAAGAAAATTTGTGGAATGCCTTTAGAATTACAAGATTTATGTGATTATGATTTTGTTGCTGTAGAAATGCTGAAAACTTTAAAAATGCTAAACTCTGAAAAGACAAATGGGTGGAACATAGAATTAAAACAATCTTTAGGAGATATGACTTTTTTAACAGAAGATTCTGGGGGTAATTCTATTGAGCTTATAAGAAATGGAGTTAATATACCAATTAATTTTGATAATCTAGAACTTTTTATTAGATTAATGACAAGATGCAAAATGAATGAATCATCTAAAGGAATAAAACATTTACTAAAAGGTTTTAGTTCTGTTATACCATTAGGTAGAATAAGATTATTATATGAGTTCAAGGAAGTTGAACATATGGTTTGTGGTGAAAGAGAAATTAACTTAGAAGTATTAAAGGCACACACATGGTCAAATGATTTAAGAATAAAAGATAAACTTTTTGCAGTACTTGAAGAGTTTACCAATGAACAATTACAATCATTTCTTAGATTTGTTTCCGGTCGCTCAAGATTACCTACAACAAAAAACGATTGGTATATGATTATTGACGTGGAAAATGTTAATCAAAATATTAATCAAGTAGATCAAAGATTACCTACAGCTGTTACATGCGGTTTTCGTTTATTATTACCTCAATATTCTTCTTTAGGAATTTTAAAAGAAAGATTATTGTATGCAATTAAAAATTGTACTGCTATTGATTTAGATGCATATGTAGTCCATGATCAAATGCAATTAATGTATGGAGAATAAAATTATATTGATATCTGTAACATTTTAAGAAAAAATAAAATTAAAAAAAGTAGAGGTTTTAAATATAGATTTTTTCTTCAATTATTAAGGAATATGTATTTCTATATATATTGATAAATAAAAATAATTTCTTGTTTACTGCAATAACGTTTTTAAATATTTACGAGTTACTAATTAATAGACAATTTCAATTATTTTACTTTATAATTAATCTTAATTGTTAAAAAACTCTAATATATATATATATATATATATATATATATATATATATATATATATATATATATATATTTTAATAATTTATATATTTTGTTCCCAATATTTTATGATTTTTTTTTTTTTTTTTTTGGTTTTTTTTTATTTTTTTTTTTTTTTTTTTTTTTTTTTTTTTTTTCTTATTATATATTTTATAATTTATTAAAACTTTTTTTTTCTATTATTTAAAAATGATTATAGTTGTACGAATAATTTTTAATATTATTAATTTTATTTTTAATTTTTGTAAAACTATTTAATATTCTATCTTTGCAACTTCTTAAGTAATACTATTTTTAAAATTTATAACATAAATAGATTGTATTGTCTAATATTTTTCATTTTAATTTTTAGATAAAATAAAAATATATATAAAAAAGTAGTTAGTTAATAATATTATTAGTTTTTAAAGTATTTTAAAAAATTTATGAATTAAAATTAAGAATACAGTTTTTTAAAATGATAAATTAAACTTTTATATTTAACTTTTTTTAATTTATTATTATTTCACATGGTTATTTTAAATTATTGCTGTGTAGCTTAAAAATTTTAAAGAATACTTTTTTTGCTTTATACTCTTAGACTAAATATTGTTTCATTATATTAATATATTTTACTTTCATTGAATATTAGTTCCTTTAGAGTGTGTCCTAGAATTTAAAAAAATATTTACCTAAAATATATATATATATGACATCTACAAATATTTATATAATATAGCCTTTTGTGTTGGTGATTCACTTACACACATTTCAATATAATTAATTTTTCTTGATTTTAAAAATGATAGATCTATTTCTTCAATTACTCTTTCTATAATATAATTTCCAATTTCTTCTGAGGAAGAATGTTTTATAGGTATTTCAACACAGTCACTTTCTGGGAAGGAATATTCTGAATTGTCTTCACATGTAATTTTTATGTTATTATTCACTTTCTCAATTTTTAAAACGTCACTATAAATAGGTAATATAAAGCGATGATCTAGTTCTTTACAAATTTTTTTAATTACATCTTTCAAAATAGAGAAATCTATTACATAACCATCATTCTGTATAGAACCTTTCATTTTTAAAGAAACTTTATAATTATGTCCATGTAGTTTTTCTTTAAATCCTTTATAAGCAATAAAATGTGCACAATTAAAGGAAAATGATGGTGATTCAACTAAAACTTCTGAAACAACATTTTCTAAATTAATTAATTTTTTGTCCATTGTAACAATTCTTGTTTAATAAATACATTTACTTATTTACTTTTAAGAAGTATCAATGTATAAACATAGATACGTACAAAATAGTTCTTCAAAAGTAAGAGAAGTAATTATGGTTATAAAAAAAAAAAAAAAATTAATGTTCTGAAAAAATAGATAATAATTAAAATATTTCTAATTTTTCTACAATTTATAATATCCAAAGGTAAATACAGTTTTAATGAAAGAAAAACAAAAAAAAAATTTATATATATATTTATATATATGAGAGAATTGAATTCTTGTAAAAATTTGGGAAGTTCAAAAAGAAATGATGGTGTATTATTTCTATGGGGAATATATATTTATGTAAAATAAATACTCTTTAAAAAAAAAAAAAAAATTCTATTATAATAAATATTAGATTAAATTGAAAAATTAATTTATTTTAACTATATTTTTTGTATTTACAAAAAAATCATTTAAAGAAAAAATAAATTTTATAACAAAAAATATATAAATTATATTATTTTTGAAAACTTAAATGTTTTCTTAAAAATACTGTTAAACAAATTATTTTCATTTCATTATTAATAAAATTAACAAAAGGATAAAAATAAAATTAAATTGTAATAATAAATTGATAATATTTTAAATTAAAATAATCAAATAAATATTTATTTTCTATACTATAAAAATTTCAAAAAAATAAATTTATATATATATAATATAAAAAATATATGTTAATATTTTTTAAAAGAGGTTAAAATTTACAAAATTTATATATTTATATTAATGAAAATAATAACAAAGAAAAAAGTACAATAAATGGAATAAAACATTTCTATTTTTTTTTTTAAATATAATTGATTATATAAATAATTTTTCTTAATTTTAAAACATCTTTCATAATATATATATAGAAAAATAATAAAATAAAATAGAATTAACAAAAAATGGATTTCTTATACAAATACTATTATGTTAAATGATTCTACTTTGTAACATTTTATATTTCTTTGATGATTTTAAAGCTGGGTCTCGCATCAACTGAATTCCATGTAAGTAATAAAGCCTCTCTTTTATTTTAATTATAAAAACCGATTTATTTTTTAGTAATATTAATACTTTATTTTTTGGAGTAATTATTTTAAATGACTAATAAAAAAAAGTATATTATTAAATATCTATATATATTTTATATTATGTAGAATTTCATAAAATAAGTTTATTATGTATATATTTATTTTATTTTAAAATTTTTTTATAAAATAAAATTTTATATAATTACGTTTTGTGTTTCTAAGACTATTATTCCTTTTATTCCAATATAAGTAGAACAGCGAGATTTATGAATTTCTACGTATGCCCCATTTAACTCCATGTCATTAATTGTATCTAAGCTTAACTCGTTATTACTTGATAGTTCAAGTAGTTCATTTACATATATATTCCATAATTGATGTAATTTTTTAGCATGTTCATAAGATACATTAGATTGTATTTCTACTTTATAACTATTATATTCATTTGATGATAAACCTACTTTATCTGTTCTCTGTTTTTTCATCTTTTTCTTCATATTAATATCATCAGCATAATTGTTCTTTAAACTTTCACTAATAAAAATTTTTGAAGGTAATTCTAACTCAAAAGCCTTAAATAATAAATAGAAAAAAAAAAAAAAAAAAAAACACACACATATATATATTTTAGACAACAGTTAATTATTGTGTTAAGCTTTTAAAATTAAAAAAAAAGAAAAAAAAAAAAAAATAGAACAAAATTTATTATATATTTTTATTTACTACCTTATTTAATTCATCATCAGTGAAATCTGGTTTATCTTTTGAGCTCTTATTTAAAAAAGGATGATGCGTAATTTTATTTCCTTTATTATTATTAATGCCATAACTGTTATTATCATTATAATCAATATTATTATTATTAGAATTATATTTGTTATTATAAATTGGTTTTACATTTAGGTTTATATTTTTATTTAAATTTTGTTGTTGAGAAGAGTTGTTATGATCTACACTTACATTAAAAGTTTTATTACTTTTAATTTGATTATTGAACTGAGAATTTATAAAAGGTGGGTTATTTTCATAATTTGTGTATAATCTCTTAGAATGCAAATAATAATTTAAATATTTTTTGTTATCAGTTTTTCTTTTTTTATTAATTTCATTTATGTTATCTTCCTCCATTATTACTGTTTATATATTACTATTTGGATTAGTTTCACTCTTTTTAAACACTTTACACTTTATATATTTTTAATACCTTAATTTAGGAACCTTTTTTTTTTTTTAATTTATTCTATTTTTCACATTAATATTTATGCTATTCACAAAACAGAATATGTTTTGGGATTATTTTTTTTTGTTTTTTTTTTTTTTTTTTTGCATTTTTTTTTGTTACCTTTTTAAATTAATAGTAATAATATTCATGTACTACTAAGTACGCTATTTTAATCATATATTCCATAGTAGATTAAAAATTTAAAGATTTAATTATTTCATAGATTCATGTTTTAATTATAAAATAGTTTTTCTATTATAAAAATTATATTTTTAATTTAAAAAAAAAAAAAAAAAATGAAAAGAATGAGTTATTCTTCAAATAAGTAAAATTATGTGTAAAAAAACATTTTTTTGTGAAAGTACAAAAATTAAACTTGATACATCAAAAAATATGTAAATAATAAAAAATTAAACTAAGAAAATAATAGATAACTTTTATTTGAATAATGAGGTTTTCTTCACATGCTGCATATAAACTTAATGTGTATTCATAATTAAATTTTTAAATATATATTACTTATTTACATTTACATTATGATATTTATAAGTATTATAATACAAATTATTATAATTTTCTTATAAAAATACAAGGATAGTTATAAAAATTAATTTTAATAATACATTTTTTATTTTTTTAAATATAAAATATATTTTAAAATATCAAATTAATTTTTGTTTTATATAAAAGATACTATTTTTAGTAACATAATTTAAACATATTTATGTGAAATAAAATTGTATATTATAATTTTTCAATTTTTCTTTATATTTTTCATAAATTTTATTTAATTTTTTTTTTTTTTATATACTGTAAAATTTAACTATTTCTTTTATTTTAAAAATATAATTCGGAAAATTTTTTCTTTTGACTATGTACTAAAAAAAAAAAAAAAAAAAAATTACATGATGGAATAAATGCATTATTATCATAATGCTTATAAAAATGAATGATTCATAAATTGATTTATTTGATTATATTTACATATAAAAGAAAAACATATATAACATGATTTATATTAGCATTCAGTAGTAAAAATAAAATATAAGAAAAGTATGATTTTTAATTATATATTATATAATTTCTTTTTTTTTTGCATTTTTTACGTATTATTATTGATTATATAATTTTTTGTACTAGTGTATATTTAATGCCAATAACATTTTTTTTTTAATTCATATACATTTATTATTTTTTTAATTTATATATTAATGTTATTTTTACAGTATTATTTTTATATTTTTTATTTAATATTGTTATTTATATACTATTAATTCTATTTTTTTTTTTTTTTTTTTAATTTTATTATATATATAATATAAAAGGGAAAAAAGGAAGAGATGCTGAAATTATTTGTTAATATTTTTGCATTTATATAGAATTATTAAAAAAGATTTGAAAGAAATAACATTTTAGAACGTTTCAATTTATAAACTGTAAAAAAAAAAAATAACAAAATTTTTTAAAAATATAGTAGATAATCTGAAATATACATAATGAATAATATAAATAGCCATGGAAATATTTCTAAAATAGATTCAGGACAAATAAGTTCTATTGATATTGATGAAAGTATTTTTATTAATAGAAAATCTTATCCAGTGAATGAGTTATACGAAGATGAAAATAAAAAGGGAAACAATCAAATAGAGAATTTTAAATCATATAAAGAAATGTATGAAGAAAGTATAAAAAATCCAGAATTGTTTTGGGGGAATATAGGGAGAACTAGTTTAAGATGGTTTAAGTTATTTACTAAAGTTTATTCAGGTGATTTTAGAAAGGGAAATGTAAGTTGGTTTGTTAATGGGAAGATAAATGCTTGTGAAAATTGTGTTGATAGATGGGCCGAGATACATCCCAATAAAACAGCTATTATATGGGAAAAGGATAATCCAAATGAATATAAAAAAATAAGTTATCAAAAGTTGTTAGAGAATACTTGTAGAGTTGCAAACTTATTAAAAATATATGGTGTTAAAAAACAAGATACTGTAACTATTTATTTACCTATGATTCCAGAATTAGTTTATAGTATGTTAGCATGTGCTCGATTAGGTGCTATACATAATGTTGTTTTCGCTGGGTATTCAGCAGGTAGCTTAAGTGATAGAATTATTGATTCTAAATCGAAAATTTTAATTACCTGTGATTTTGGTTTAAGGGGAGGTAAATTAACAAAATTAAAGAAAATTGCTGATGCTGCTATGGATTTATGTGGAACTATAGAGAAGTGTATTGTTTTTAAAAATAAAATGAAAATAAATGAAAGCAATATATACCTGAAAACTCCAATGCAAAATCAATTTTATCATTCAGCTAGTATTGATTCCCAAAATATTAAAGATTCTATCAAGATATCTGGTAGCAGTTCAAAAATAAAAAACAATGGATCCGATATAAATGAAAATGTGTCTGATCAAATAAATAATAATAGTTTGAATATTATCTCAAAAAGTGAGACGAGTGAAAAAAGTTATATGGACATTTATGCAATGAATAATAAGACTCCAGATAAAACTATTTTAAAACCAAATAGTATATGTAGTAAAACTTTATATCCACAAAACGTGTGCACTAAAGCAGACAATACAAGTTTTAGAATCCATGAAAATGGAAAAACAAATAATAGTGGTGACATAATAAATAATGGAGAAGAATTATGTAGTTATAATAATGACATAAAATGTAAAAGTATTGCATCTCCGAAGTACCAAGATATGGAAGAAAAACAATTTCAAAATAAAACAATGGAAAATATTCCTAGTAATTTTGATGAAAATATTTGTACCTTAAAAGAAGGTCGTGATGTAGATGGATCATCATTAATGAAGAATATGAGACCTTATTGTCCTATTGAATATGTAGATAGTGAAGATTTTCTTTGTTTGTTATATACATCTGGTTCTACAGGAAAACCCAAAGGTGTAGCACATACAACTTCTGGTTATTTATTGTATGCTTATACAACTTGTAAATATATTTTTGATGTAACTGAAAATGATATATTTGGATGTGTTGCTGATATTGGATGGGTTACTGGACATAGTTATGTTTTATATGGACCATTATTAAATGGAATTACTACTGTTTTATTTTCATCTATACCTACATATCCAGATTGTGGTAGATATTGGAATATGATAGAAACTCATAAAGTAACGCAATTCTATACAGCTCCCACTGCTCTTAGGGCTCTTATGAAACATGGAGATCACTGGGTAGAAAATTATGACTTATCTTCTTGTAGAATTTTAGGAAGTGTAGGAGAACCTATTAATCCAGAAACTTGGAGATGGTACTATAATGTAGTTGGAAAAAAAAAATGTGTTATTGTTGATACATATTGGCAAACCGAAACAGGTGGAATTGTTATTGCACCAATACCCAATTTATTTAAATTAAAACCAGGATGTGCTACTCTTCCTTTTTTTGGAGTTGAATTAGAAATTTTAGATTCAAAAACTTTAAATCCATTAAAAGGTCCAAATGTTTGTGGGTTATTATGCATAAAAAGTCCATGGCCGGGAATGTTAAGAACAGTTTATGGAAATCATAATAGGCTAATTAAAACTTATTTTGCAACATGTCCTAATTACTATTTTACCGGGGATGGTGCATATAGGGATGAAGATGGTTATTATTGGATTTCTGGTAGAATAGATGATACTTTAAATGTTTCAGGGCATAGGTTAGGAGCTGCTGAGATCGAACATGCATTAGTTCAACATTTTTATATCGCTGAGGCAGCTGTTGTTTCCTTTTTTCATAAAGTGAAGGGAGAAGGAATTTTATGTTTTGTTGTTAAAAAAAAAGGAGACTTAAAAAATTATGGAAAGGTTACTAATGAGAAGAATGTCATTTTATCTTCCACACATAATATAGAAGATCTGGAAGATTTTAAAAAAACATATACTGATGAAAAATTAATAGAAGAATTAAAGTTACAGGTTAGACAAGTCATAGGACCTATTGCTACTCCAGATCTTATTTGTATTGTCCCTGATTTACCTAAAACAAGAAGTGGAAAAATAATTAGGAGAATACTTAGATGCATAGCTAACGGCTTGAATGATTATGGGGATATAACTACTGTTGCTAATTATGAAATTATTGATGTTATTAACAATAAATTTAATGAATGTAAAGAAAATTTTCATTTTACAATATAATTATGTCTTTTATCTTTTTTAAGAAAAAAATTTTAAATGAGTAATAAAAAGGTTTATTTTAAAACTAGTGCTTTATGAAAAATTGTGAATGCATTTATACAAGAAAATTTTAACATTAAAAATGTGGAGTTGGTAAATTCTTAAAGTTTATTCCTATCTAATATTATTTTAACATATAAATATACATATATATAATAATTTGTCATAAACAAGTTAATTTAAATTGTCAAAAAAAAAAAAAAAAATAAAATAACAAATTTATATAGATAATATAGTTTTTTCAAGGATTTTATAGTTTATTTTTAAAGTATCTACATAATATGATTATTTTTGTGCATTTATATATACTTAATTCTACTTTTTTTTTTATTTTTTATTTTTATACATTTGTTAATTTTTTTTTTTTTAAACATTAATGTCAAAATATATTTATAAATATATATTTTTAATAATTTTACATAAACAAATGCATTTATATAGAAAAAAAAAAAAATTATGGGAAGTTGAAATGCGTAATCTAAAATTTAAAATTTACTAATTTTTTTTTTTTTTTTTTTTTTTACTATGAACATTTTATAAAGATAAAATGAATAGATTTATTCTGCATATTATTTTTTATTTTATAATATTAATCTTATTTACATACTTGTGTATGATAAAAATATTATTTTATATTAAGATTTTTTTTAATATTATTAAATAACTATTCTTAAAAAATGTGACTTTTATTTATATAAAATGAAACTATGAATTTATGCAAATATTAGAATATTCGTAAGCATATTTCATGAAAAGTATGGTAGTTAATATATTAACATTTTCTTCAAATTAAAGATAGTAGAATATATCAAAAATATTGTTAAAAGAAGGAAAAAAATGTTTCTTGATATAATACCACACTCATCACTATGTAAAAAACAAATTATAAAGTAATGCTTTATTATAAAAATAAAACATATATTTTATATTTAGCATATTTTCATTTATATATGAAAACATAATTAAAATCATGAAGAACTAAAATATACTCATGTATATAAAATAAAGAAGTAAATATTTTTTTAAAAAACTTTTTGTAAAATTGTGAATATATTTCTAAAAGAAAAATTCTCATTTAATGTATATAGTTGTTAAACCTATTTATTTTTTTTATTTATTCTTCTATTTTTTCTTTTTAGCATACTTAATAAAAAAATTGTCTTGAAAAAAAAAAAAAAAAAAAAAAAAAAAAAAAAAAAATATGCAATTTGTTTAGGAATTGTCTTTCTCTTATTTAAAATAAATATTTATAATTAACAATAATATCATTAAAATAAATAATACGGCATCATGAAAATGTTTTTAATTAAAATTTCTTAAAGTCACATATTATTTTAAAATCTTTTTATATATTCTCTGATAATATACTTTTTATATTTCTATTTTAAAAATTAACATTTTTTTTTTCCTTTTTTATACATACGATATTTGAAAGTTTATACTTCTATATAAATATACATATTTTTACTACAATGATATACTGTTTTTTACAAAACTTTCTTATAAATAGAAAATGTATGTGCACATATAAATATGTATTAGTTTATATAATAAAATAAATACCATTTAAATATGAAAGTTATCATCAATACGTATATTAAGCATATAAATTTTTATTTATTTTAAAAAATCTTTTTTTTTTTTTTTTTTTTTTTTTTATTTTTTTTATTTTTAAGCATGTTTCATATTTCATTATTTTATCTTTCTTTTTTAATATTTTATTTATTAACGTTATTATAAATATTTCTTAATATATCAATTTTTTATATGATTTAAAAATACATATACAAACAAATATAAATAATAATAATAGAAATAGGTAAGTTATAAGTTAAATCTAACGTTCAAATCGTTTAGCATATCATTTGGAATAGGAGATGAATGGGAATCATTAGTTGGTTGATATATTTCTTTCCATTGATTAGGATATTTTTGTTTCATTGTTGATAAAAATTGATGAAAAAAGATGTTCAAATTTTGAGAAACATATTTATACTTTAATATTATATATACAATATCTTTTAGATTTTCAGCTGCAATATCTAAATTTAGATATAAAGTGTCCAAAACAGCTTTAAGCGCATTTATTTTTTCATTTTCTTGCGTTCCATGAGACATAATTTTTAACCAAGTTTTTAAAAATTGGGGAAAATAAAAAATGATTTTTTTAGGATATGTAGATGATAATCTGCCTAAAGTTATACAAATATTTTGTAAGAGACAACCATGATATTTGGAATTCTGACAAATAAAGATAAGCTGCTTTATAATTTCATCCACATACATTTCCATATATTGAGAATTAATATGTATACTAATTTCTCCTATTGCCCAACTAGCATTATTTGAAACTGGAGTAGATGGATGAGTAATATGTGCAATTAAAAATGGTATTATATCATTTAAATAAGATATTAAATACTGAGTGCAAAATCTTGAAATATCTCCTATTAAAGCAAAATTTGACTGTAGTATTCCAAAGTTTAAAAATTGTTTTGCTAATTCAGTGCTTTCTTCTTTACCTATGATTCCATTTTTTAGGGATGTATCACAGTTAAGAATTTTAAAATCATGATTTATCTTATTCATACCATCAAATTTTATATTTTCTAATTTTAAGCAATATCTATGAACTAAAGGTATAAAATTATATTCGTTTTCACTTATAATGTTCATAATATTAGAATTCACAACACTTAATATTCTAGATAATAAATCAAAACTACATTCAATTAAATCCTTTTTTTTCGAAGGTGAAATAGAATCAATATCTTTTATACTGGTAAAATATTCTTCATTTGTTATTTTATAATATGATAATAATTCGCTAGCTGTTGGGGAAATGTTATTCCTATTAACAATATAAGAAATGGAATTTCCTGATTTTTTAGAGTAATAATATTTAATTTCTTCTTCTAAATCAATATATAGTAAAACTAAAAATTTTATACAAGTTCTTATAACATTTTGAGAATATTTTAAAAATTCTTTACCATAAGCGCTAGTTATACAGGACATACATTCCATTAAGGCAATAATATATGGACTACTAATACGAATATTATTCCATTTGGATAAGATAGAATTAACAATTTGATGGGCCAATTCATTATTCTCTTTTACAATATTAACACTATCAATTAATGTTCCAACAACATCAAATAAAATAAAATAATTTTTTGCTTGATATATTTGAAATGCCTGTTGAATAGTATGAACAATTTCATGCAAATAATTATTTAGTAATTCCAAGGCATCTTCTTCAAGGTTTGCAAATGAAGAACAAGCTGCTTCTTGAACACGCTTATTGCTATCTAAAATTCTCTTTAGTAAATTTAATAAAACAGGTTCAAACCATTTATCACAATTGTCTGGATGACATATCCAAGAAGAAAATCTTGTAACACACCAGCAAGAAATACTTCTTGCTAAAGGTTTTTCATCGTTTAATAATTTGATTAAGTATTCTAACACTTTAGGTATAAATGGTGATAAACTATACATACAACCTTTTGCTATAGCACCTAAGGTTAAGACAGCACTTTCTCTTATATTCCATTTATCACTCATCAGTTTTTCTTCTATATGAGGTAAAATATATTCTAATATATCATCATTATATACATTAGATAAATAATCTAAGCATAATGCTGCTCCTTTTCTAACAGTCCAATCATTTCCCCATGTTCTTGCTGTCATATCATCATTTTTTTCATCATCACTATAATCATCTAAATTTTCATTATTTATATCACTTGTATCATTCATATTATTATTACTATTATTATCATTATTATTTAATTTATTCATTTTAATTTCATCTTGATTTATATCATTATTTTTATTGTTATATAATTCTGGTGTAATATCTTGAATTAAATCTGGTACATTTGCATTGTCATTTTGAAAATGAGATTCATCCATGGTTAAGTAATCCCATTTTGTGTATACAGTATTATCTACTAATATTTTACATAAATAAGGTAAATAATTTTTTAATGTTTTTAAAGCTTCATTTCTTAAATCATTTATATTTTTATATACATTTTCATCAATATAATTTTCCGATTTGTTTACGTCATTTTTATTATTATTACAGTTTGAATAAGCTATATAACTTCTATCTTTTATAAAAACTGGCCAAAATTCTAAAGCTTCTAATTGAACCTTTCTATCATTTGAATTAGTTGCATTAACCATAAATTGAATAATAGCATCCAAATTACTAAAGATTGAAGAATAACGAGTATCTGTTATAATTGTCATACATGTAACTACAATTTTTAAAATTTGAGTATCTTCTTCTGATGCTAAATAACCTAAGCATTCCCACAATTGTGGAAAATAATCATCAAATACCCCATTGAGAGTAAAGCATGAAGATGTTATAAATAAATCGAGACATTCTGCTGCATACTTTTTTTTTATGCTTTTTTCTTGTGGAGAGCAAAAAGAAAATAATTTCTGTAATAGTTGTGTTTTGCAAAACTGAAAAAAAAGAGAATCAGTACTTTTTCTATTCATTAATTCGTCTTCAATTATTATTATAATAGCGCGAAATGCACCATCAACAACATCATTATTTCCGCGATCTATTAAAACTAATAAATTATATAAAGCTTCTGGCCATTTTTCTATTCCTTCGTATTTTGTTAAAATTGTAGTTATAACAGAACCTGAAGTATTCCTTATTTCTTTTACTTCATCTTCCACTAATTTAAAAATTTCATTCTTTATTATTTTTAAAATATCATTTGTTAAAAATTTATTTTTTGAATTTATGTAATTTTTTAATAACAATCCTCCTACTTGTCTAACATCATTTTTTTCTTCTTTATTCATAAATATATGTAATAAATATAATGCTGCATCAGATACATTTTCATTTAAGTCTTTTAAAACTTTTGTAACTTCAGTTTGTACAGTATTATTCGAACTATTACATGAAGTTAAGGCTTCAATTATCGTTTTATATATTTTTTCATTTGGCTTCCATTCCATATAAGAATTACTATTTTCAAAACAGCAATTATGCATTTTTTTACATGCATATATATATTTATATATATATGTTTATTTATCTTTTTGTAATAGAATATAAAAATTTTGAAGTACTTATAAAAAAAAAAAAAAAAAAAAAAAAAAAAAAAAAATTAAATTTTATATAAATTTTCACAACATTCTAAAAAATATAAACACATAGATGTATTAATTATATTAAAAATCTAATTCTTGTATATATTTTTTTTAAATAAAAATTTTGGGAAAATTTTTTTTTTTTTTTTTTATGCTTTTTTAAGCAAATATAAATAAAATACAAATTTCAAAATTAAATCTAAATAATAAAAAAAAAAAAAAAAAAAAAA